GGTTCATTCAGCATCTACTGAGGTCCTGCTGCATGCCCTCGCCATGCAAGGCCACGTAGAAAGGACACAGACACAGAACGGTGAGGCTGAAAATCGGATGTGACCCTGATCAGCCTGGAGAACACATGTGAAAGCAAGTCCTGGTGCAATTCTTCATGTACTACCATCCTTCGATTGACAGAGTAAAGCCAGAAATGAAGAGGCCCAGGAAAGGTAGGTGATTTGATTGAAAACTCACCACCACCTGAAAAAAAAAAGCCCTTGATATCCACTATTTACAAGACAGGAAAATTCCCACACATACAAAATGCTTCCTTCCCTAAATACATTACAGACCTCAGCAAAACATAAAACTCTACAACACACCACCCCAGGAACCCTGTGTCTGGTCCATATCCAGCAACATGTCATTCCATTCCTTTTGGCCAACACTGACTTTCCCAGAATCCTTTGCATCCACAGGCAGACGTAAGACCTCATTCAGGACCATAAGAATAAAAACGAAGATATTGTGAAGAGGAATTTTTGAAAATATCTCTCAAAGGAAAAATTGGGCCTCTCCCACACCCCTCGTGGGGAGATGTGGTGCCTAGACTTGTTGTCTTACCGCCATGAGGTGGGCAGCAGGGGAGACAAGGAGGCAGCAACCCACTGGGCTACCAATCCAGAATCAGGTCCGAACCACCTACCTTCAAACTTCCCGTAAGGAAGCAAAAAAAAATGATATGGTGGCTTACACCAAAAATGTTTTGTGCCAATGATTAAATTACTACATATTAAGTTATTAAGTTACTATTAAATTACTAAGTACTTTGTGTCCGGCAGACTGCACAGTTCTGACATGACTAGTTAACTCTACCACCATAACACAGAAGCCGACAGAGGTAACATATAAAATATGGACTTGGGGACGTGACTCTGTGACTCAAGCGGTAGATCACTCACCTTGAGCTGAAGAGCACAGGGACAGCACCCAAGCCCAGAGTTCAAGTCTTACAACCGACAAAAAAATATATATATATATGGACTTGGCTGTCAGACAATAAAACTTCATGTGTTAGAGAATAGTTTTCTCTTTCTGACTTTTCTCCCCACTGCTTAAAAATGTATAAGCCAGCAGGGCACTGGTGACTCACGCCTGTAATTCTAGCTACTCAGGAGACTGAGATCTGAAGATCCCAGTTCAAAGCCAGCCCGGGCAGGAAAGTCCATGAGACTCTTATCTCCAGTTAACCACCAGAAAACCAGACGTGGTACTGTGGCTCAAAGTGGTAGAGTGCTAGCCTTGAGCAAAAAGAACTCAAGGACAGTTAACCAAAGAAACAACTTCTCACAGTCATTGGGGTTCATTCTAGAAATTATACATTTGCATCCCAGTGGATTTTATTTTATGATATCCTTGAGCTTTGTCTTTTTCTTTCAATATAGCAGGGCCCAGCAAGTATGAGGGCCTACTTGCTTGTTTCTGGGCTATTCCTAACTCGACTTAGAAGACCCATTGATAAGATGACAATAACTGAGTATGAAGGTGAATATAGATATGTTAATTCCCAGCTCATCACTAACAGTGAGGAAATTGCCTTTTACAATGGGAATAAAAGAGAAAAGCAGACAATCCATGCAGTCTTTTGAAAACTGGAGCATCTACATAATTTCACTTTCTTTCGATTTTCTGGGCTTCATTGATAGCATAATTGCCAAATACATTGCCACTGTGGTCAGATTCCTAGTTGTCAGTCATCCTTTTCTAGATTTGTCTCATCTTCGACATCTTAAAAGTACACATTCAGAGCTTCTGGAGGATTACTACCAAAGTGGAAGAATGCTTTTGCAAATGTCTCAAGCTCTGGGTCGAATAGTATTGGCTGGACGTGAAATGACTAGATTCGCTGGTTTTACTGCTCGGATTACAGAATTAATGCAGGTACTGATGGATTTAAATCATGGCAAATATGAACACACAACGGTCTCACAGCAGGAGAAGCGTTCTGAAGGAGCACAGCTCAGTCCCTTGATACCTAGTGCTGGAGAAACCATCAACCTCGATAATATTATAAAGTTTGATCATGTTCTTTTAGCAACACCAAAAGGTGACATCTTGATCTTAACTTTGAAGTTCGGTCTGGGGTCAATGTTCTCATTTGTGGTCCCAATGGCTGTGGAAAGAGCTCACTCTTCTGTGTTCTTGGTGAATTATGGCCTCTCTTTGGAGGATGTCTTACTAAACCTGAGACAGGAAAGTTATTTTATGTCCCTCAGAGACCTTACATGACCCTTGGAACTCTGCGAGACCAAGTGATATATCCAGATGGAAGGGAAGATCAGAAGATGAAGGGGTACTTGGACAATGTGTAGTTGGGTCACATCCTGGAGTGGGAGGGCGGCTGGGACAGCGTCCAGGACTGGATGGACGTACTCAGTGGGGGAGAAAAACAGAGAATGGCCATGACAAGATTGTTTTATAATAAGTCGCCATTTGCCATTTTGGACGAGTGCACCAGTGCAGTGAGCGTGTATGTAGAAGACTACAACTACAGCCACTGTTGGAAGGTGGGCATTTCCCTGTTCATGGTGCTTCTCTCTGGAAGCACCATGAGTTCTACTTGCATATGGACGGCAGGGGCAATTAGGAATTCAAAAAGATCACAGAAGATACAGTCAAGTTTGGTTCTTAGAGAAATCAGAGAACTGTACTTTTGTCAATGAAATGAAAATCACTACAGAATACACATAGAAATAGTACCTTGTAAAATAAAGTTAAGCTTGTTTTTTGAAAAAACAAACCAACCAATTAACTAGCTATAGGACAATTGAGAGCATGTTGTTAAAACATTTAATATTATATTAGGATATTGCTAATTGTGTATATGTTGGTTTAACTATTAATATGTACTAAGAATGTCCTTTTTCTTTTTTTATTGTGAAAATACTGTACAGAGGAGTTACAATTACATGGGCAAGATAATGAGTACATTTCTTATCAAGCATTGTAGCCTCCTCCTTTGTTTCCCCTTCCCATCCCTTCTCATCCTCCCCTTTCCCCTCTACCCAATCCTCCTCCCCTCCCCCCCACCAATGTTGTAAAGTTCATTTTTCCACATAACAACTTGTACATCTCATTGTTGCAATGGATCCACCTGTATCCCTATTTAAACGATTTGTTTTTTCCCTTCCCCTCCACAAAATATACCAACCTCAAATACAGTGAAAGCAGGGGTTATACCATGGGAGAGGGACATACAAAGCAACAAAGAAATAATCTTATAAATGTGTTAGAAACAATCATCTGAAAGAAAAAAAACATTTGAATACATATCTTAGGGTTCATTTCCCTAACATCAACTTATTTGACCTTTTCTGCTTACTCAAACATATACTAGTTATTGCAAATAAGGGAAACCATGCGACCTAAGTTTCTTTGAGCCTGGCTTACTTCACTTAATATAATTTTTCCAAGTTTTTCAATTTGAAGGATGGCCAATAGATACATGAAGAAATGCTCAGCCTCCCTAGCCATAAAAGAAATGCAAATCAAAACAACATTGAGATATCACCTCACCCCAGTTAGAATGGCTAAAATCAAGAACTCTAATAACAACAGATGCTGGAGGGGATGTGGACAGAAGGGAACCTTACTGCATTGTTGGTGGGAGTGTAAACTTGTTCAACCACTTTGGAAAGCAGTTGTGGAGGTTCCTCAAAAGACTCCACATAGAGCTCCCCTATGACCCAGCAATCCCACTTTTGGGCATTTACCCAAATGATCACAAACAAGGCCACACTAAAGCTACCAGCACGACTATGTTTATTGCAGCATTATTTACCATAACTAAGATATGGAACCAACCCAGATGCCCCTCAGTAGATGAATGGATCAAGAAAATGTGGTATATATACAGAATGTTCTTATTCTTGTGGTTAAAAACCTGCCTGAATTAAATTGGGCTTCAATCAGTGGGGGAAAAAAAGAACTCAAGGACAGGACCCAGGCCCTGAGTTCAAACCTCATAACTGAACAAAAAATAAAAGGGAAAAGCCATTCTTAGCTCATAGGTTACACCAAGATAGGCAGTGTACTGGATTTGGTTGAAGTCATTGTTCAACAGGTTAAATCACACTTATAACCCACTGTCTTCTTAACCAAAACTGACCACCTTAACCCACAGCCCAGATACTCATTGTCTTAGAAAGCAAAGTGATATCAGTGTGGGGATTCAGATGGTAATGATTCATTAATGCAGTAGACTTCCTGTGATTCCCCTTCCAGAGGCATTTGTAATCTAACAGTGTTCTTCTTACTCATGAAATTAAACTCCTTCCATGGAGTTTCCAGCACCAAAATCAGCCTAAGGCAAGGAAGGCACGAGATAAAGTAAAGAAGACTTCCTGGTGCTTCCCCAAGAGGGAGCTGGTAAAGAGTGCAAGATAAAACAGGAGCTTCCATCTCCAGACCTTACCACGTAGCACAGTAGCCCCAGAGGTGACAAGAATAAAGCTGAGGCCACAGAGCTGATGGATGTCAGGGTAGAATTCCACTCCAGGTCATCCATCCCTACATTCTACACACTTGCACTTGGAGATTGTTAGAAAAGTGGAAAGTAGCCCAACATGAATATGTTCCAAAATATTGTTAATTGTGACTGAGTTTGAAATGATGCCATGGAATTTATTGGGCTCCAGCATGATTTCATATGCCCATACTCCAAGCATTTAGAAGATTTGGTAGGATGACCTTGAGTTTAAGGCCAGGCTGTACTACATAAGGAGCTCAAGACAAGATTGGGTTGAATAATGAACACATTCTCTCTTTCTCTCTCCCTCTTCCTCTCCCCCTTCCTCTCTCTTTGTCTCTCTCTTTCTCTTCCCCCCTTCTCTATCTCTGTCCCTGTCCCTCATACAACAAAAGCATGCCTAGATTACATCTGCCATTTAGATAACTAAATAAAATTGCCATCTGTAGTCACCCTGTATATGCTACTTTCTGTCTTGCATTTTCATTTCTATTCCATCCTTGAAGTTACTTTCTTCCCCCACAACTTCCTCATGGCATTTTTCACCTCGGCATTTCTGAGTGTGTAGATGATGGGGTTCAGCATGGGGGTAATGACGGTGTAGAACACGGCCACCAGTTTGTCCTCAGTGTAGGTGGAGGCAGGCCTCAAGTAGAGGAAGATGGCGGGTCCAAAGAACAAGAGGACCACGGTGATGTGCGAGGCGCAGGTGGAGAGGGCCTTGCGCCTCCCCTCCGCAGACTGGTTCCTCAGATGGACCAGGATGACAATATAGGAGGCCACCAAAAAGAGGAAGGAGAATACAGAGAACAAGCCACTGTTGACGAACATAATGATTCCTACCACAAAAGTGTCAGTGCAGGCAAGCTGGAATAACGGATGCAGGTCACAGAAGTAGTGGTCGATTACATTGGGACCGCAGAAGGGCAAGGGGAGGGTGATGAAAATCTGAATTATAGAGTGGAAAAAGCCCCCGAGCCAAGAACCTGCCACCAGACGGTGACACACGGGCCGGCTCATGATGGTTGTATAGTAAAGGGGCTTGCAGATGGCCACATAGCGGTCATAAGCCATCACGGTCAGCAGGAGGATTTCAGTGACTCCAAGGAAATGGAAAAAGAATATCTGTGTGAGACAGCCCTTCAGGGAGATGGTTTTAATCTTCACAAGTAGGTCGGTGATGAATTTGGGGACGACAGTAGAGGAGTAACAGATCTCCACTAGGGACAGGTAGCTGAGGAAGAAGTACATGGGGGAGCCCAGACTCTTACTGACACTGACCGTCACAAGGATGAGACCATTGCCCACCACTGTGGCCAGGTACACACAAAGAAAGAACATGAAACACACTTTCTGTACTTCTGGATCCTGGAAAAGGCCAGTGATGATCAACTGGGTCACATTATTTGGAGTGGCCATGGGTTCAGTTCAGGGATGCTGGATGCCAGTATCTAAGAGGCCTACAAGGAACCAAGAAGCACGATATCAATCCACATTATTCACACTATCTAGAGAGGATAAAGTAATTTATCATATGCTTACTACTTATCCACTTGGCCAAATACAATCCATAAATATTAAATATTCACAATCTAACACTTTATTTTAATAAACTCTTATTATTAGAAAGTGAAGACTTAAAAGTAGAAATTGAGCCAGACACTGGTGGCTCACACCTGTAATCCCAGCTACTCATGAGGTTGAGGATTGTGGTTCAAAGCAAGCCCGGGTAGAAAAGGCCAGAAGTGGTGCTATGGCTCAAGTAGTAGAGCACTAGCCTTGAGCAAAAGAAGCTCAGATACAGTGACCAGGCCCTGAGTTCAAGCCTAAGACCCAGCACACATACACAGAGAGAGAGAGAGAGAGAGAGAGAGAGAGAGAAATTAGTAGAAATTGAAGACTTAGAGAAGTGGTTATTTGTCCAAATCATATCCCTGATATAAGACATGCTACTATTTCCCTTTATATATATTTTTCCCAAATTTGCTTGTAATTGACAAATAATGATGTATCTTGATCTGTGCACACTACAGGAAAGTTTAATTAAGGTAACCTAGTGTATCTATCACTTTCAAAAACCTATTGTATTTGGGGAGGAGGACACTAAAAATTGTACACTTTAAGCAACTCTAACATGTATTATGTAGTCGGATGCTGATGGCTCATGCCTGTAATCCTAGCTTCTCAGGAGGCTAAGGTCTGAGGATCATGGTTCAAAGCCCACCCAGGCAGGAAAGTCCACAAGATTCTATCTCCAATAAACTTCCAGAAAACCAGAAGCGGCATTGTGGTTCAAGTGGTAGAGTACTAGCCTTGAGCTGAAGGGTGGAGGGACAACACTCAGAGTTCAAGTCCCAGGAGCAACAACAATAACAAAAAAGGCATAACTGCACTCCAATATTCACTTCAGCGCTATTTAAAACAGCCAAGATGTGGAAGAAACTAGTGTCCATCAGGATACTCCATGAAATACTACACATCTTTAAAAAAACAAAAGAAATGTCCTTTTGATAACCTAAAAATGTCCCTTGAAGAGCAAAGAACAGAGTTAGCAGACAGAACAATGTCAGTGGTTGACCAGATTGAAACAGGTCAGGTTGTATCCCTTTGGGTAATAATATATGCTGAAGTCTATGATGAATTAATTTCATTGGAACTTTCTAAAAAAGATAGAGAAATTAATATTCTGGAGTGAGAAAAATAGTACAAAGCTGGGTACAGTGTCTCACTCCTGTAATCCTAGCTACTCAGGAGGCTGAGATCTGAGGATCACAGTTTGAAGCCAGTAGGAGCAAGAAAGCCCATGAGACTCTTTTTTTTTTTTTTTTTTTGGAGGTTATGGGGCTTGAACTCTGGACCTGAGCGCTGTCCCTCAGCTCTTCAGCTCAAGGCTAGCGCTCTACCACTTGACCATAAGACTCTTACCTCCAATTTTCCACCAGAAAATGGCACAGTGGCTCAAAGTAGTAGAACATTAGCTTTGAGCAAAACAAAGGACATTGCCCTGGGACATTGCCCAGGCCCTGAGTTCAAGTCCCAGGAAGGGTAAAAGAAAAGGAAGGTAGGAAGGAAGGAGGGAAGGAAGGAATGAAGGAAGGAAGGAAGAAAGAAGGAAGGAAGGAAGGAAGGAGGGAAGGAGGGAAGGAAGGATAAGGAAAGTAGTACAGATAGAGATCACAACATCTGAAAGATAAGAGAGTATCTCACCCATGACATTTTGTGTGTGTATGTACACAGTCTGGAGGCTTGAATTTAGGAACTGGTATACTCCTTGAGCTCTTTTGCTCAAGGCTAGCACTGTACCACTTGATCCACAACTCCACTTCAGGCTCTTTTTGGCTGACCAATTGGAGATAAGAGTATCACAGACTTTCCTACCCAACCTGGCTTTGAACCATGATCCTCAGATCTCAGCCTCCTGAGTAGCTGGGATTTCAGGCATGAGCTTGTGATTCAGGCTGATCCTTGACTTTTTAAACTCTAATAATGTTCACTGTGAATTTATGGGCCAAAAACACCTGGGGGTAGGGGGAAATTCAGTGAAAGAAACCAAGAAAGACAAGGACCATATGTTCTCTCTCCTGTGTGGATACTAAAACTGTTTAACCCAAATGTAGGTGATTCACAAATGAGTAAGTAAAAAGATTAATATATGTAGCAAAGGATGTCAAACTTTTCTGCTTGTGTTTTTGTTTTATCAGTTAAGAGGCTTGAACTAGGGGCCTGGGTGCTGTCCCATTTGAGCCACAGCACCACTTCCTGTTTTCTGGTGATCAATAAGTCTCATGGATTTCCCTGCCCGGCTAGCTCTGAACCCTGATTCTCAGATCTCAGCCTCCTGAGTAGCTAGGATTATAGGCGTGAGCCACCAGTACCCAGCTAAATACTACTTTTAACTCTAAATAATAGGTGCTGCCTTATAGTTCTTGAGAGTAAGAGACCTGACAGGGGTTAAGGTTGTATGTTAGCTTCATACTCTATTGTAGAACTCAGTATCAATACAAGCATTCTGAGACATGAACTGATACTGTGTACCCAATGCACGCATCCATGCTCCCTCCCGTAATGCATTCTCAGGTCTCACTGGTGTGATACATAAGAGCTGAAGGTCGTAGTGTCTCAGAACCAGTACACGACAGCCTGGTGCATCTGTTCCCAAAGCTGTTCCCCCTGGTGTCACCTTGTTAACTTGAAACTAGCCCAGTGGGAGTAGTTAGCTGCAAGAGCTTTTTCCCAAGAAGCATCTTTTGTTAAACATTTACTAGCACACCACGTGGTGAAACAGAGCCTTTCTTCCCCGCTCCTAAGGTCTTCTTCAAAATGGAGGAGGCAACTGTAACAAAAAATGTCTGCCCTGCCTACCCTACCCACCCCTGTCCTGCCTGCCCTACCCACCCCTGCCCTGCCTACCCTTGCTGCATTTCCCTGCCCTGCCCTGCCACAGGAGATGGAATGAATCTGGAAGGAGATATTAGGCACATACAGGTGAACCATCCTCTCTTGGGACAAAATGTTGCTCAAAGCACACTCTTCACTCTAGCCCAGGGGCAAATTCTGTCTCTGAAGAGTAGACAAGGAACCAATACTATGAGGCAGGCCCAATGCTGCTGAGACTAGATGTGTGCATTTGTCTAATCCTGAGAAATGTAATAAGAAGGGTGGTCACTTGTAAGTGATGTACACTGCCATCCTCATTGTTAATAATGATCTCGGCCAGTGACCAAGACATCGTCACCCCAAACTCAAATTTAGCTCAGTATTCCCACAGGGAAAAAAGTAACATTGAATTCATCACCAACAACAAATTATTGGTTTAAATCCCACTACTTTAAATCTGAGGAGAAAAGAAAGTGTAAGTTGCCAGGCACTGTTAGCTCATGGCTATAATCCTAGCTACTCAGGAGGCTGAGATCACGGTTCAAAGTCAGCTCTCACAGAAAAGGGTCTGAGACTCTTATCTCCAATTAAGTACCACAAAAAAAGCACCCTAAAAGAAAAGCTGAAAGTGGAGGTGTTATTCAAGTGGTAGAACACTAGCCTTGAGCACCAGACTCAAGGTCACACACACAAATGTGTAAGACAGCTAAAACTATATCAAAGCTGTGGTGTGCTTTCCTGCCTAGCAAATAGGGATCCCTACTGTTTCATGTTTTGGAAAGGCTAGCTAGTATGTGGCAAGAAGTGCAACCATAAGCAGAAGGAAAGAGATCAGCTATTCATAGAAGCACAAAGAAGCTGAGCAAAGGTTAATTTGGTAGATTTGGAAAAAAATTACATTGAAACCCACAACCACCACAAACAGGTGGATTTATTACTGAATCCATTGCTCTGTGCCCTGCTCACTCAGGGCAGTGTGATACAGGCACCAGCCTCCCTCATCTTTAGGACTGCCCCAGTGCCTAGAAAGACAAGTAAATGAGCAGAAGATCTGACTGTGAGACTCCATAGCTGGCCTTTCCATCTCCTCACTCACAAGCCCCAAATGGATGTAAACAGAAAAGAGACCTGGAGCTGATGGGATTAAGTTGTGAAGTCACAGAAGACTGACAGGCAAGTGATACCCAAGATGCTTCAATGACCCCATCGCCCTGCAAGCTGCCCAGCCTCGAGCGTCAATGTCCATTTTGTCTCATTCCTGTGGTTCATTTTGCCTATGCAGTCATCACAATCTCGTACCTGCTGTCATTTCTCCTCTCACACTGCCAGCTGATGCCTAAAGACACCATCTTCTACTCTCCAGCTCCACTCACCGGGTCACCCCAATACTTAGGAAGAATGGATGCAGTTCGGAATTGCTCTAACTGGCTTTTCATGACTTCCATAATCTGAGACATCAAAGCAATGCACCTTCCAACTGACTAAACTCCAACTTCTGTGCAGGTCAGGGCCCACTCCACCTCCTGCTAGCCCAGCTTACTCCCTCCCACTACACACCCTTCCCCAGAAATGCAATGTGAAATGCACAGACATGCATGCAAATAATATTGCCTCTTTTATACATAACAGGAGAGAAAACCAGAGAGACGTCAACTTGCCTAAGTTTGCACGGTGGCAGATTGGACTGTGGAAACAGGCAGCTGAAGCTCCTCTTCTGCTCTCTAACCATTAGCCTGAAGCACTGCGAGGAACAGGACAGGTGCATAACCCCAAAATGAAGAACATTACAAAGAGGCTTCGTGAGAAGTGGGTGATGCAGTTATTTGACTTTAAACAGGCAGGTTCTTCTTTTCTGATCTTGATCTCAATCTGGATTTTTTTGGTCTATGAAAGGACTAGATCAATTTTACTCATTTGTTAAAAAGATTAATATTACATCACTTGCAGGAAAATGGATGGACCTAGCATTAATCATGTTAAGTGAGATAAGCCAAGCTCAAAGAGACAAACAATGCATGTTTTCTCTCATATGGGGAAGCTAG